GAAGCTTTACTTGAATTTTTTTAATAAATATTAATCTTATGTATTAAATCATTCATGATTTTATTAAAAACATAAGATATCATAAAAAATTGCAATAAAATAAAAAACATAAAAAGAAGATAAAAATATATTCATATTCAAAAATATACTTATGATCCAATCCTCTGAAATGTACATTATTTTACTTTTTTGTATGAATTTACTTTATATTTTTTTTTTGCATCAAAAAATTGGCTTAATTTTTAATTTCTTGAAATTGTCTCTAATTTGACTCTTCAATATTGATGAAAACTGATCTCAATTGAACTTGAATACTCAAAACTTAAATTTCAACTTTCATGTCTAAAGCTTATTCTACTTTTTTTTTGTTCCTTCATGATTTGTTGCTATAAATGTTGCCCTATTATCAAAATTCTCAAATTATTCATCTCAACTATGATTGTAATAGATAACTATATCCATATTAAAAAAAATTCCATATTTTTATTCAATGATTATAATACAAGATTAAAATGACAACTTTATAAGCTACTTTTCAAAATAAAAATCACAAAAGCTATAAATGATACTTCAAGATATAATTTGATAATTTTCAAAATAAAATCTTCACAAAACTTCTTTTCATACTCTTTTTTGTCAATAATTTCAGAAGCTCTACATATGTGTTGAATCTAACTTAGTTTATAATCTAGATGTATCAAATGTTAAGAATGAAATGTTAATGGTGCAACTTCATGTTTTTTTGTAATAAATGATCAAAAAAATTATGTTATTTTTGGCTTTATCACTTCAATCATAAATTTTGACCATCAATATGCCACAAAAAAAAGAAACAACCAAAAAAAAATAAGATATTTTTATATGAAACAAATATGAATGTAAAGCTTATTAAAAATTGATCATTGTGATATTGGATTTTGATCTTTTTTTTTTCCTTTCTTGACATGTAAATCAATGTACTTTGCCAATCTCTACATACTTTCGAAACTTATTCAGCAATCATTTTCTTGCTATTTCATGAAGTGTAATTCATGCTCAAAATAAAGAGCAGATTCTTTTGATAACATTATAACACAGGAATGAAGTTATCATCTCACTTGTAAATTAAACACAAATTATGAAGATGATATATATTTAATATGTATAGATATTTTCAACATCTATAAAAAACTGAGGTGTATTTTTCACCATTCATTATATTCATAATGGAATGATACGTGATATTTAAACTTATAAGTTTGTGTTAAGTGATAAGTTAGAAGATTGTGTGATATGGTGTTGAAATTTATGTAGGTCAATAGAATCTAAGTTCATAGACTCATGATTAACTGTGTCTATGAACTTAGGATCAATATATAATGTGAGTGAAACTTAAGTGAGAGTAAGTACCAAATTCATGGTCCAAGAAATGTGATTTGTTTGTATTGCAATATTTTCCTTTTTGTCTTTTCTCGCTTTTAGCAAATCATTTAAAGATCTTTGCCAATTTTCCATCTATAATTAGTTGTATAGTAGATCATGGCTTTTGATCATGCGAATCATGTTGTTCAATACTTTCAATAGACCGCATCAAGTTTTTTTAATTGATATTCGATCAATTTTAAAATCTTCATGTTGTAATTATGGAGGGATTGTTGTGTCGCCATCTCATTAGACTTATATATGTGAATAAAAAACCAGGTTATGTACTTTAAGTCTTTTTGGATTTTGTGCGTGATCATCAATCTATCTAAGTTTTGTCGATGATGCATACATATATTTTTTCAATTCATAGCAATTTTGTCCAACACAAAAACTTTGATTAATTATGATTTATTCAACGTCTCATAAATCTTCCGTTACAGCGTGAAATCTGAATCAGTACATACATGATTAATATCCAGAAAATATTTTGAATTATGTTCATAGGATACTTATTTGTGTTATTCTTTTTGCGCTTGTCAAATCATTTAATCAGATTGATAGCATGTGTTTATACACCATATGCCATTGCAATCAAATTGATTATCCCATTCCATATATTCTGACAAGAGCATCGCATTTCAAGACTTAAAACGTACTCGTCATTCAATCTATCTTTCTTCCTTCATTAGGCTTCTTCACACGACTCTTTATACAACTAGTTTCAACGTCAAGCCAAGATATCTCTCAACTAAAGTCATTCTCTTATCATGCAACTTATCCAAATTTTCATAGATCCACATAGTTTTCATTGTCAAAGGTCGATGACTGTATTTCTTGACCATCGTTTGGCTCAACAGTCTTAGTTTTGACAATAATGCCGACCATTTGATTGTTACAATGAAGACTGTTACACCTAGATGTATGGCTGAACAAGCATTAGGGAAACGGAAAGAATAGTGAATCTGCAAAATGCGCTAAACTTCAAGACTTGTCAAATGTGAACTCAGTTTGATTTTTTGCGCTCCGCAGTTGTTGATCGTTCACAAGCAAGCCGCTACAGTTTTTTTCATTGGCCACGGCAGATTTCTGATTAAATTGGGTATCTATAATCATTTTTTTTCCTTTCCGGGGCATTCTGTCGTTTGAAAAAATTACTAAATTTTACTATGCCTCAACAATGAGTTTCATTTTGATGAAGCTACCTCCAGTAGATCAGATGTATTTTAGACAATAATTCTGAATTTTGTCTCTGAAAGCCAGGACTAGCTCTTCATATTATCAAATCCTAGTAACTAAAATAACACTAATCTTAGTGAACAAATTAGGGTTAATCTTAGTGAACTTGATTTACTACTAGCATTTGTGATAAAGTAAATGATACTAAATTTTTTAGAAAAAAATGCCATTTTTGTGATGTTAGACCGAGATTGTACTATCCGATAAGAAGCTTTCATAAAGTTTGTGTGGCGTAATTTAAAGATTCCACAGGAGCCCAAGTGATGTAATGAAATGAAACTTGATGAGAATTATTGACATAAAGTAACTAAGGAAATGCTCAGTGTTGGAATAGAGTCAAAAGGATGATAAAATGGATGAAAAAATATTAGTACAAAGATGCGCAGACTAATGATAAAGTACTATTACATGCTGCTTTGATTGATAGGAAAGTATTACAACAAGATGCTAATAAGTACTACTAAACAGATGTTTAAAATAATGAACACTGCTCCTACAAAGATCTCTCGACTAGTGGAAAACTACTACCACGAAAATGCTCAAAATGAGGTTAAATTGCTGCTAAAATTAAGTTGAAATATGAGAAATACTGCTAGTATGAAAAGTCTAAAGTGTTGAACTTAGCTGCCAGGAATAGGTATACAGAGTTGACAAAATACTGGTACAAACAGGTTCAAAGTGGTGAATTATTATTGTTACAAAGATTCCAAAAGAGGTGACAAAATTCTAACACAAACAGTCGGCATTTTATAATAGGCTCAAGTTTTGACTACATTGAGTTAGATTTGAGGAAATTTTTTCTATTGGAAGTTGGTGCAAATATGTAAAATTAGGCATCACTGCAAAAAAATCTGTATGTGATTACATTTGCTTTATTCCAATAAAACTTATCACAGATATATTTTGGAGGTGAACGCATTTTTGTGTAAAATTTAGTATAAGCTGAAGAGATGGATTAGGATGTATATTGGATCTTGAAATGTGTACCTGCATATCACTTTGTAACAAAAGTGAACATTAGGATTGACTGAAGTGTTGGATTCAAATTTATGTTGTCTTTTCGTAGAAGGAAATCTGCATATCGGTAAGTGATACAGGTGGAAAAACAATTTGTGTTAAAAAACATTGGTAAGACAAAAGGAATAGATTGAAATAAAGAATTCAAAACAAAACTCACACAAACAGCTGAGGAGAGAATTTCACAGCTAGGTAACGGAACTTTCTCAAAGCAATCTTATATACATGTGACATCGCTTCAAGACACTTGAGTTTTCGCTATTCGAGCTTTACTATTGCCTTTTCGTTGCTACCGAAATCCTGTTGATGTCTTTTATATGCAGTTAATGCAAATCCAACTGCAATGGATTTTGCAATCAATGGAAACTAAGGTTCATTGCTTCATCCATGAATCGATTCATCGATTCATATCAGTGAGACTACGGTTCGCTTCAAAATTCGTTGTTCGAAAAAAATAATCGCCCTACTAAACATCCAAGTTTGTGTTGTGAAGAACTATGGCAAGTTCTACTATCTAGTGCAGGTTAATTAACTTAACTATTCATAGTTACACTAACTAGAATTAACTAATACGTTTAACTAACTAATACGAGTTAATTTCTAATAATGAGCTACTAAGGAAGACTTCACTTCTCACATGGATAATATACCGTACAAACAAGACACTAAAGTGAGATCAATGAAGAACTCATGTGTTTTAATCACAAAAACATATGACTAATCTACATGTACAACAGGTAATTTTCTTATTCCAGTCAAACAACCATGACGCTTTTTCACTGTGCCACTTTATGCAGTTTTTTATCTTTGCAACTTAAACATTTTGTTCAATTTTTATTGATCTCTATCTTCATACAGTGTCAATTTATGAATTATCAAGTTGCTATCTATTTCTCTCGTCTTTTTACTTTGATTAGATGACTTTTGTTAGAAAAGTAATCATTTGTCTTTTTCATTGACTACATGTATTTATTCAATAGTTCCAAGTTCATTTTATACTAGATACAGTAGTCCGATAATGTAACCTTTCAAAAGTCAATTCAATCATTACCATGAGTATGTTTACCTTGAACTAATTTTATTAATTAAGTATAATCATCATAATTTCTATTATGATGATGACTTATGCCAGTCGTCTTAACATAACACTCGCCTCATGACATGGACGGAAGAATGACAGTTAGAGAAATGGGTGAGGCAACAGTCACAATTTGAACGAGGCGAGGTTCAAGAGCCTTCGGAAGACGGTATCAATCGAGATACGATGCGAGGATGTTCCTTCGGTGTGACTTGGTTGTTAACCTAATCCATTCATCTTTTTGTCCTGTGACCTGCATTGTGAGCGCTTTACACCCTGGCCCAGGATGTAGTCGACAATCATTCAGAGCAGGATAGTTTCTCGGAAAAGTGGCTGGAGTAGTACTACATATGAAGCGCTCCTGCCACGCTGGCAGAATCTGGCAGAATCTGGTGCACCGACCTTCAGACATTCCAGTATCTGTGTGTTGACGACAGCGGGTGATGACAACAAGACTGCCCTGTTACCATGTTCGAAACTGATTCGAATCGTGGGAATTCATATTTAACTAGGTCCTCTCTTTTTTACTGGAAAAGAGCTTACGACCAATCGACAGCAGAGTGGGAGCGTGGCAGTGGGAGTGGTGGTGGTGGTCGACCGATTCCTGGAACATCGACGCTGGACCGATGCCTGGAACATCGACGCTGGACGAGACCAATTGAACCGGCCTTGGTGGCGGAATGATCGAGAGGTGTTCCAAACTACAGTGAATTACGAAGCTGAGAATGCTCTCTGATGATTGACATTGGGCATCAAGTACGAAGAGGATAATACATTGACCGTGCATATTCCTGTTGGATGCAGATAGGAGTTGACATCTGTGCAATGGGAAAAGCGGTGAGATCAAGTGTGGTGTTCGCTATCAACGGACGACGAGTTGAGCTCACTGACGTCGATCCACGGACGAGTGTACTGAATTACATTCGCGAGGAGACGGAATTTAAGGGCACGAAGCGTGGTTGTGGTGAAGGTACTGTCATGTTCTCAACGAAGACTCTGTAACTAATTTCTTCGTTGCTTCTTCTAAGCAGCGGGCCTTTAGCGTGCGCATCATATTTTGGCTAAAAGGCCTTTACATTCTACAGCTTGAAAACAACTTTCAGGTTCTCTTGTGCTGCTTGAAATTTCTACCGCTCTTACCAGGTTTGGAGCTAAGTCCTGTCTTCTGATCGCGCAACTTGTTGTTTACATCTCTTGCTTCCTGTTTGTAGGCAGTAATTGGTTCTGTAATGGTTTGCTTTAATTCACTTTGGGTCTTCTATGGCTCTGAGCAGACGTCTGAGACGTCTTGTCGCATCTCTGGACTTTTCATGGTTATGTAGCTGCTTGCTTGATTGATGGGGAAGTCAACGTAAAAATGGATTGTGCATTCGCCCCCTTGGATGTAGAGAGGAGTTAAGCTCTCTGCAATGGGGAAAGCGGTGAGATCCAGTGTGGTGTTCGCTCTCAATGGACAAAGAGTTGAGCTCAGCGACGTCGATCCGCGAACGAGTGTGTTGAGCTACATTCGCGAAGAGACAGACTTTAAGGGCACGAAGCGTGGTTGTGGTGAAGGTACTGTCTTCTTCTCTTGGAAGACTTTGGGATTAGTGTCCTCTTTCTGAGCTTCTTTTGAGCTGTGGCAGTTCAGCGTGCATCATATGTTGCTTGACTGGCCTGTAGATTCTATAAGTTGGAACTCACTGTCACTTATTATTGTTCTATTGTTCTTACCAGGATCGAGCTGTCATCCCATCTTAGCGTGCAGTCTATTGTCTACATACCTTGCTTCCTGTATGCAGTAATTGCTTGTATATTGGCTTTAAGTTTACTCCGGGCATATAAGCACGAAGGCGTCGCAGAGCTTGTTTGTGAAAACTTCTTGTTGCATCTCTCGACTTTCCATGTTTCGGTAGCTGCTTGATTGATTGATGGGAAGCCAACGTAGAAAATGGAAAACATGTGTTTGAAGAAGACTGACATTTGTTAATTCCAGTAATTGCTTGCATGTTCAGATGGTTTTGTAATAATTTGCCGACATCCAAACTAACACAGCCTCTTTGGCGATGCTGTCCAGTAGTTTGAAGAAGTTTTCTCCTTTGTTCTAGGTGTCTTCTCTGGCTGCTCCTAAATCCTTTGTTTCTGAGCTAGAACTTCCTGACTCTGGTCTCGCAGCACCGCGATTCCTATCTGCATGCAATTTAGTGCTTAACTGTGTGAAGCGAAACTGGTCATGAGTTAGAAGAGACGATTGCTCGCTCTGTATGTTTTCAGGCATATTGACAAGTCACAATCACCTGATTCTTATCCCTTCAACAACGTATGCAACCCGTCACTTTCTGAATCCAAGCTTTCTGTGCGAAATGTTCAAATGCTTGTATCAATTTCTGGGAATCTCGTGCTCTGAAGAAGTCACAAACGTTTGAACCCAGAATCGAGTGCCCGGAGGGTTGTAGAATTAACGGAGGGTAGTATTACGTCATCAATACGTTGCCAATTGTTTGTAGATTTACTCGCCATAAATCTGAATTCGAATGAACGGTCTAATTTACTAAGTTGAGGCTAAGACATGAGCGTGCACTTTCATGTATGTGTAACGGCGAGCTTGCCACTACTGGTTAGCAAGCTCTCTGCTGGCTCATTCGAACGAAGCGTGTGTTCAAACTTTAACGAAGCGTGTGTTCAAATTTTAACGAGGCTTCGTCACGTCCCGCTTTCTTTCTCTTCCCCACGTCAATAATTTCAAATTCACGAGCTGCATGTGTTACACAATTTGGTTGGCTGGATCGGAGGTGTCTGTTTAAATATACGCGTTTGTGGTGCTTGCGTTAGGATTTAACCAAGTGATTACATCTGAACTCTAACGAGTATGATAATTTGCCACGGTGGAGAGCTCCTACACAAGTGGAGGAGGCATTTCGAACTTTTGCAATATCTAATCCATGTTACAGAATTTTAGTCTAGCAAATGGCTTTTACGCTATTAATTTTGAGTTCGAGTTAACGTGGATCTTTGAGGATTAGGATGACCACCGGAAGTAATCAAATCAGTTCAACTCCTTTTGCCCAAAGAAGTGCAAACTGGATATTTCCGTTGCCATTGGTTACTATTTTTTCAAATTAATTTTGTGGATGTGAAGGTGGGTGTGGATCCTGCGTAGTGTTGCTGTCGAAGTATGACTCCAAGTCTAACAAGATCGAGGAGTACACTATCAATTCTTGCCTGGCTCCCATCTGCTCAGTTGATGGGTGTGCAATTACAACCACCGAAGGTCTTAAGAATGGAAAGGAGCCGCACGCTGTGCATACTCGACTGGCCGAGTTCCATGCCAGTCAATGTGGTTTTTGCACCCCCGGGATGGCTGTTTCCATATACTCCTGCTTGAAGAATTCTTCTAAAAAGTCATCGATGGGAGCAGAGTCAACGAAGCCTACGGTTGCCGAGGCCCAAAAGGCCATAGCTGGGAATCTATGTAGGTGCACAGGATACAGGCCAATCTTGGACGTATGCAAGAGTTTTGCTGCAGATGTGGATATTGAAGACTTGGGCGTCAATACTTTCTGGGAATCCTCTGAACTTGCCAAAGAGAGCTCTTTAAATTTGTATCAATCAGAAAAAGATCCGGAATTTCCTACCTTCCTTAAAATTCAAGCAGGAGACTATTTGGAGGTTAAAAGCGTCAGAGCCGAGGAAGTGACGGCATGGAGATCTGCCAGTACTTTATCTGAGCTGTTCACTATGTACGAGGAGGAGACAAAGGGAAAGAATCGTGATGTTAACTTTGTTGCGGGAAACACCAGCTCTGGTGTGTACAAAGACTTCAAACCCTCTGTGTACATAGACATCAACAAAATTCCAGAGCTTCATTCTGTTGTAGAAACCGATTGCACACTTGAGGTGGGGTCCGCTGTATCCCTTTCTAAGCTCATCACAATTATGGACGCTAGGGGTGGACCTGTTTACTCAGAGCTTGCGAAGCACCTCAGGAAGGTTGCGAATGAACACGTGAGGAACAGGGCAAGTGTGGGAGGAAACCTCATATTGGCTCAAAAGCGTGGGTTTGCATCAGATGTTGCTACCATTCTGCTTGGCGCTGGATCTCAGGTCACCATTGCCACTTCAAGAGATAGTTGCATAAAAGATATGGAAGAATTCCTAGCTGGAGTATCCCCTGATACGACTATTCTACAATGTATTCGCATTCCATCTTGGGCACAGTACTCCAAAGACGGCAAAGAGAAATTGTTCTTTAAGACATACAGATCGTCCCCTCGTAAAAATGGCAATGCTGTCTCATCCGTCAATGCGGCCTTCCTGGGCATCTTCCAAACGCCAGAAGTGGACAATGGTTACACTGTTGGCAAAGTGCAGCAATTGAGGTTGGCTTTTGGACACCTGGGAGCGCCTCATGCAATGCGAGCCAAGAGAACTGAGAAGTATTTGCTTCAAAAGACCGTCAATCCTGATGTACTGAAAAATGCTGTCAAGATCTTGAGAGAAGACATACTTTCTTCCGCCAAAGATGATGATCTTTATACGGCTACTTACAAAGCCAGTGTCGCTGTAAGTTACCTATTCCAGTTCTTTGAACCCTTACTTCCCAGCTCAAATTTGACCTCCTCACAGGTTGGGACCCCTTGTATGAACGGAGGTGATACTCTGAGCAATGGAAGTAAGGTTCACAGTAGAGATGTTACAGGCACTAAAAGCAAGAGCGAGGTTCACAACAAAGGTGATACATGCACAAATGGCAACAGTGAGGTTCACAACAAAGGTGATACAGACTCAAATGGCAACAGTGAGGTTCACGACAAAGGCGATACAGGCACAAATGGTGCGGCGATGAATGGCACAAACAGTGACGAGAGTGCAGTCAGGAGTTTTGGAAGAACGAGCGGAAATGGGATAGGAATCGGAGAAGGCTTTTGGGGCGCTCAGTCTTTTCCTCATTACGACGAGTTTTCCCCTCTTTCCAAACCCGCTGCCAAAGATGCAGCTGTTCTTCAGGCTTCAGGCAAGTTTCTCATGGGAATACTCTTATTTTTCTTAACGCTGGAAGCTGTAAGATCATTTTGTGAGCTTGCAAGAACGTGAACTATCACACCAATAGGACATAGGCCGTCCCATCTGTGGGTCTAATCGTCTCTTGTGTGAATGTTGAGTCACATTGCTTGAGCATATACTTGTCATACATTGCTATGAAGTACGTGGGGAGCTACCTAAACAATGCTTTTTGATTATAGGCTCGACAACCATTGCGCATTTGAAACTTTCGCTCACATGTTGGTAGTATAATCTCTTCTAGTTTCTTCATCATCCTAGACTATTAATTTATGCGCAGAAACAGGTCGATAAGAGGAGAACGCATCATTGCAAACATAGAAGTCTTGTTCCACCATTTAGTTTGCATGATCAGTAGACTATTTAAACAAATGTCCTTTGGAACCCACTATAGTAGGAGTGAAAATTCCCGATTAGCATCTATCGAAGCGGGGAGTAAGGGAGGGTTTAGGGTTTAGTTCGTGTGAAGAGAGGTTTGATTGTAACCCAACTCTCGGATCTTTTACCTCAGGAGAGGCCGTGTACACCGGCGACATACCCTCACCACCAGGAACTTTACATGCTGCATTGGTGTACAGCAAGAAGGCACTAGCGAAAGTTAAAGCTCTGGAAGCTTCGGATGCTTTGACCTCTCCTGGTGCAACATCATTTTTTTGCGCAAAAGATTGCATAGCTGAGAACGTCTCAGTCGTCAACAACATTGCTGGATTGGAGTTTAGAGAGCCGCTTTTTGCCGAAGAAACAGTGCACTTCGTCGGAGAATGTCTCGGTGTTTTGGTTTGCCTCCTTAACTTCCAAAACCTCCACTGCTGTTTTTGGCTCTTAAGTCAAAGTTATTTGGATGTAGCACTTTGAGTGATAGGGGCGAATTTTAGTGTTGAAGTTTCACTCATTATTTTCGGGCATTTATACCTTGTTTTTTCTCTTTACTGAACTGCATTTCGATTTATTTTAGTTCCTTCCGTCATAGAAACTTCCCTCGTTTTGCCGAAAGAACTAATGTCTCCCTTTTTGTATAACTTATGTGACAGGTCGCTGATACACACGAGCATGCTGTGCTAGCAGCAGAAAAGGTTAAGGTGGACTATGACAACAGTACGTTAGGACCACCGATTTTAAGTGTTGAGGATGCAGCTGGGATGAACTCATTCAAAATTTCACCACTGGCAGTGATGGGCACTGCTTCCGTGGGAGACGAGTTGATCAAAGGCGAATACAGGATGGAGAATATTGAGGTGTGAATGTGATCCTATACTTGTGAATTATACTTTTTGATCTTATGCATCTTGCCCTCGAGTTTTGCTTTTAACCCCGAAGTGGTGACTCTTCAATGTCTAAACTAGATGTATTGCAGTCCAATGATGATTTCTCAGCTTCCATAGCTTTCGAAGTGTTGATTGTCATAAACTACCGTCTGACACCTCATTTATTGTACATTCCACCTCACGAAGTCCTTTCGTCTGTAGTTATTTGCAGGAAGTCAATACTATTTTTACATGGAGACACATACAGCTCTTGCTGTACCAGATGAGGATGATTGTATTACTGTATACAGCTCGAATCACAGCCCTGAGGTGCTGCACGACACTCTCTCGGCAGCTTTGGGAATTCCGATGCACAACATTCGAGTGATTACTCGAAGACTTGGAGGTTCATTTGGTGGAAAGAATACTCGGAGTTTGATTGTGAGTGTTCTCTTAAGTGATACTTTGATTTCTGGTGATTGTTTTTTGGTATGGCCCTTTTAAATAATCTTGTGTGTCAAGTCTGAGTTGATTTTTTTCACTTGAACATACCTATTAGAAGGAACCCACTTCTCAGTAGTTTGCCGTTATCTGAATATCGGAATTTTTTCTTCAGGTTGCAACTGCTTGTGCGTTGGCAGCTTTCAAACTGAAGAAGCCAGTGCGCATGACTTTGGATCGAAATACCGACATGGTGCTGAGTGGAGGCAGGCACGAATCCAAGGCCACTTATTCCGTCGAGTTCAACAAAGACGGCAAAATTACGTCCTTGGAAACAAATGTGCTGATGAACGGAGGTTATCCTGATGATTACAGGGATTTGTTGGGTTTGTTGCTGACTAAAGCTATGAAATGCTACAACTGGACCTCGTGGAGGCACGTGAGCAAAGTTTGTCGGACAAATCTACCGGCCAGAAGCATGATGCGTGCCCCTGGTGAGATCCAGGGGAATTTCTTTGCAGAGTCAATAGTGGAACATGTGGCTACATATTTGGGACTAGATCGTGACAAGGTCAGGGAGATCAACATGCACACACATGAAAGTGCCAAATTATTTTATGGTCCATCAACAACAGGCAAAGCGGAACTCTTTACGCTTCCAAAGATTGTACAAAGAACAAAAGATTTATCAAACTTCGAGTCGAGGAAACTCAATGTACATTCCTTCAATAAAAGAAGCATGTGGGTGAAAAGAGGCATTTCACTCACGCACGTAATTTATCCAAATATGCAGTCAGCCAAGGTGGCAAGGGTTAGTCTCTTTAAAGATGGGTCTGTGGCAGTCGCATCAGGAGGAACAGAGATGGGACAGGGTCTATTTACTAAAGTAAAGCAGGCTACTGCGTATGGTCTGTCTCTGCTCTGGGGCGAGAATGCTACTGGGAAAGTGGATCTGTCTAAAATCAGAATAGTGGAAAACGACAGCATAAGCTTGGCAAATGCAGGAACTACAAATGCCGGTACCACGTCAGAAGGTACTTGTGAGGCTGTTGTGAATGCATGTAAAATGCTGGTGAAGAACCTGACCCCCATTTATCTGAAGCTCAAAGCGAATGGAGGAGAATCACCACGCTGGGAAGACGTCGTTAAATTGGTACAATCTCGTTCTTTGTTCCTGTATTGACGGACTTTGTACTAACATCTACTAAGAAGTTAACAGACCATGTTCAGATCCTGCTCATCACGAGCAGTTCTCAGGTCCATATCAATAGGGATGTACCATCAAAGATAGATCATGTAAATAATAAGTAGAGAAGAGAAATGTTAGGGTTGGAATTTGAAGTTTTTAACTCTTTCCTCTCATGTCAAATTCTCCAGGCCAAAGGGAGTAGAGTTGTATTGACAGCCGAAGCACGTAATGGGGAAATTGGTCCAGCAACCGAATATATGGCATGTGGTGCTTGTGCCTCAGAGGTAACTACTATACATATAAACTCTTCCTGTAGCTTCATATTTTCCCACCCAAAACATGCGAATTGTCTCTTCAACTTTCTCGTCGAAGGTCTTATGTTTGCATCCTTAAATGAAACGTAGATGCTCAACTTGTTTGCTTTATACCCAACAGACTCTTCACATAGATGCCTGTCTCAAAGTAGATTCTAGGATGGTGGCGTAAAACAATAAACCTTGCAAGCTTAGTCATCCAGAAGAAGTTGCGTTGTTTTTACGGATGGAGATACATGCATGCATAGGTTATTAGTATTCCAGTACGCAATAAGATTATGTCATCCATTGATATTCTTCTCATTCACATGTTACCATCGAGGGGTTTCGCACTTATATTTGCATGTTTAGATTAACATGTAGCCAAATAAGGTCTTGTTTTGACCTTAACATATATATTATAGACGTTTAAGTTGTTTTACATTACCTGCAAAATACTTATCTTTTCTTCCATCTGGGAAATTTTTTCCATTAAAAGAAATCAAGATATGTCGATATTTACAAGCCCTACTTCTTCCTCATGGTTATATTTGACATCGTCTTTGACTTGCTTTACATCCAACATACTCAATGAGATTTTAGAGTAGTGGAGGATACCTCTTGCACACGATATGGTATCAGTACATAACTTTTACACAGTACATTCCTCATGCTGCTTCTTACGATTAGTATTACATTTTTAAATTCGGAAAGAAACCTATCCTGAGAACATTACATCACAGTATAGATGGTAATATCAGAAGACTGAGTCTTTTCTTACATTTGTCAAAACAGAACGTTTTCAGTATCCGGCACCGAGGTGATAGCCAGTGGTGTTAATTTAATGAGAATAGGAACAGTACAAATTCGTGCTCACAATTTGCAGAGTAGTTTCAACAATCGCTAATTTCACGGTTATTGGTTAGGCATGTGACTGCAGCCACCGTGCAAAGAACAATTCTGAAGAAATTTTCCTTACATCTGAACTCTATATCTTTGTTCTTGTCTCATCTGTCCCTGAAGTAGAGTACTGCAACCGGACTCGGGTTTACCAAGCATATTGAAGGTGGATTGTGTCGGCCTGTGTTTCTTTTGGTTTACAAAGTGTATATATATTTCAGTATTTTGGAGATTGTTAACATGAATGTCATCAGGTGGAGGTTGATCTTTTGACGGGGAGCGTAAAGGTTTTACAGGCTGACCTAGTCTATGACTGTGGGAAAAGCCTCAATCCTGCTGTTGACATTGGACAGGTATGACTGATGCCAGGATATCTAGGCCTCTTGCTCTGCCCAAGTTGTTCCTAAGGTGATTCATGACATGAACGCGTGTAAACGGTACATTTCTGTCAGGTGGATGATTATTTTAACATGATCTTCAAATGTTGTGTACACAGATAGAAGGGTCTTTCGTTCAAGGCATTGGTTATTATCTGACTGAACAGATAAAATGGGATGAGAATGGCGTGCTGCTAACGAATGGAACTTGGACATACAAACCACCAACCATTGACAACATTCCCCAAAAATTCAACGTCGAACTTTTGAATTCTGCAGTTGATTCTTCACGCATTCTTTCGTCTAAAAGTGAGTATGGATTTCTCAGATTTCCTTCTTTCTCAGAATTGGAGTGAGGTGAATATATTTTGCAACACCATGCAGTTAGTTTCCCATGATTGCGTCTTTTATTTTAATTTTCTCGTTCATCCTGGCAAGAATTTTAATGCCAGGATCTGAATAGAACGTATTTGGGTTCATCAACTTGAGTATGTGTCATACTTATCAAATTTTATGTACATACCGATGCATTGTCTCTGAGGCCATGGCTAGTATACCAATTAGCAGAAATGTTCATCAGGTACAATGTGGAGTGCCTGGTTCATGATTGCATGTTAAATTGTTGTTCTCTCATTCATATTGGTCAGGTTCGTAAGTGCCAATAATTGATTACATTATAATTCGACTTAGCAACCTGAATATGTCCAACATCTTAACTTTTGGATGTTTATACTGAGGCGTTGTGTGGTTGTCATGGCTAGTATGCCCATTATCAGAGGGATTCGAGAGGTACAGTGTAGAGTACCGAGTTCTTGGATGTATGATGAGCTTGTACGTGTTGAGGATTATCTTCGAGCTTCATTGACATTAGAAAGATTTTTGTTATGTGTAAAGGTCTCATGTGTTCTAACTTGCGTGTGGTTGTATTGAGCAGCTGCCGGAGAGGCTCCTCTGGTTCTGTCAACCTCTGTACATTTGGCTGTAAGAGAAGCGATCAAATCAGCAAGGGCAGATCTACAACACCTTCCACCAGTTCCAGGGCATTGTGGTCCAGAAAACATGAAGGGTAGTACTGATCCTCTACTAATTAGGAACTCAGTGACCTCTATGGAAAACGTGAAAAGGCTCTGCGGTTTGTACAACGTGGAGCAGTACTTGGAAAAGTTGAGCATAGAATCGTCATAGACTCATCATAGAACTATAACTTTGAGGGCATCGGTATCGGTATCTCGGGTCAGGGTCGTTCTGCATTACAGTTGAAGAGTAACCTGTATATACTGGACCCAGAGCATGCCAGTTTGTGAGTCATTTCTTGTGTGATTGTTTACAGTAGGAATGTTCTCTGTATAGCTAGATTTGAGCCTTCACTTCGTTGGCCCGAGAAGGCTATATTCATACGAGGTCCATATGCTTACCCACCAACGTACATTACAGTCAATATCAAGGACTTCGAGTCTCACTCTGTTGCGGTACTGTACATAGGCTTGTGAATGGAAGGTTGGATCTTGTTTTTACGATGTCTTCATTGAAGCCACGCCGATTGGACCTTCGTAGCCAACGTAGTCTCGTAGTTGTGAAACATGAACTCTTTGCTGCATCTGTCTTGTTGTTGTAAAGACTCAACAATGCTTCGGATGCTTGTTTGCCTGTTGAGTCACGGAAACTACAAGATGGATCTAGAGATACTTAAGCCACCTCCAACTATCACGCCGTACTCTCTCCCTCGTAACCCGTTAAAAGTTGTACTTATTTTTGCGATATTTCAGGCGAGTTTGCACCCTTGAGTAGAACATACCATGCTCACATGGTTCGCTTAACTGACACCATGTAGTTTCATATCTAGAGTTCACAGAGCTGGTAGTCTACAGTTACATCTTATGTGCGAGGTTTTCAAACTTGTATTGTTTCATTATACTACAAATGCGATACTGTTTGTAGAAATTCCATCTAGGTTGAAGAGTTGAGTCTTCTGCACCAAGTTTTCAACTGCTAGGTCCTATCTTATTGGCACATATGAATATTGTGACACTTAAGATCTTAAGTCTTCTGTATAACGTTATTTGACTCATAAGTTTTTTGCAATTTTTTCTTATTCATTTAACAACTTTTGTATGGACTGTATACTTGTTACTCTTTGTATCACACGCGGTGTTTGCAAAATAAATCAACGTTTGTGGAGTTACGAATAGTTGATACATTTCTATCAACTATTTGTAAACACATTGAAAGTAAGTGACAAATATGACATATGTTATCATCTGGAACAGAAATCAATCTTGATATACAGAAGATTCCGATTGTTGATCAACTTAACATCCACATTAAATATGCTTCTCAACGATTAGGCTTCAATTCAGAACACCATCAGTGTTTGCAAACTTACTTGGCATTAGTCTTATCAAATGACAACATCTAAACACTTCAATATCAAATTTTAGACGATAAAACCTCACTTGCTCGAAGAATTATGAGAATGTAGGTACAATTCAATGTGATTGATGCACTCTACTTACAATAAATTTCTGAGTTTCACTATATTTTATTTTCATTCAGATTTTTTGTCTACAATATTATATTTAATTTTGTATTAAGGTTGAAATAAAGCTAAAACATGTCAAATTATACATATAATTTGAGAGTAAATTATTTAGTTTTTTTTATACTTATTAATGATATTAAAGATAAGTAATCTAAATAGTTGAGCTTTATGCAAGCTTATAACATAAGACCTAAAAGTTTGAGCGCACAATTTATAGTTTTAAAGAAATCATGTTTTTTTATTTAGAATTAGTTTCAATAAAAAATACATAAATTTCATTACATATTATTTTCTTAATTCTAATTATTATTATTATTATATTTATTTTTGAAATATTTTAAAATATTAATATGATTCTGATTATCATCTGTAAATATCTACCTCTTTAATAATCATAGATTTCATTTCAATAAATAAATTTCTTAGCATATGAAAATGAATCCTATCGATTTTTTTCCGTTTCAGAGTTCATGATACAAAATATGATAAACTAATTTCATTTTAGATATTTGTAATGTTTTTTATTTGAGGCTGTCTCAACTCATATGATCAGAAAATAGAAAACACAACATGATGTACTACTTGTGAAATCAATATAATTATGGATTTTTCAATTTCAATTTAAATTGAAAGAATATGAAATTTTAATTAAGGTTAAATTTTGATCATATAATTATTTTTTCATCAAGTAAAAGAAAATCCAAAATACTTTTTAAAAATACTTTTATGTATATTATTATAAAGATAATTTCCAAACTCAAACTTACAAAAAAAATCTTGAAGAAGAGAAAATTTTCATAAAATCTAAAAATTAAGTGTGCTATAACATACTTTTAAAATATGTTATGAATGATCTTTGAATTTATAATGCTTATATTGAAGAATATATATAAAAATTGATTAGAATTACACATAAATTGAACTTTGTTTAATTCTAGATCATGCTGAAGAGAGTATGATTTATAAATTTCCATTTTTCATAACGTTATACATAAAACAAATTTTAATACTTACATTAACTAAATTATTTCATTGGATTTATCATTGATGTAAAAGTACAATATTTTGATTATAACTTCACATAATAACTTTCAAAAATATTTTTTCATATTGATGATAAATGTTAAAAATAAAATTATTTACTTATTTATTTTTTTAGTTAAATTTTGTGAAATTGAATTGAAAAAAAATAACATCAAATTTTTTAAAAAAAATATTTTGATTTATGTGTAAGTTTGTTAAAAAGGAAATATATGTTGAATAATAATAACAACCAAATTAAAACAATGTGATCTGACATATTTAATATACTTATATATTATATGTTGAATATTTGTACAGTGAAAAAACTAGTATTTTTTAATTTTTCTCTATTAAACTCATATTTTGTATATTTATTTAAATTTATATCTTATATGGTAAATGGTAAATAGATCAAGCCCGTGGGACCCAAAGGGTCAAAAGGCTAAAAAACACAATCCAACTCCAAACTAGGAGAGAACCAGTAGCTATTGATTATGTCTTATATGTTAAGAAATTCAAATTTATATGTAATAATATAAAATCTTTACAAAATCATAATATACATATTAAATTTTTTTATCAGAATATTAATGATTTATTGATAAATAGATTTTATTGAAAACATTGAAATTTAAAATTTAAAATTTAATTATATATTCTTTACTTTATTATTAAGTTTGAAATATTATTGATAAAAAATTATGACAAGTCATAAATTTAAAATATTCCAACGTGTTCAAGTTATTTTTAAAAGTTATCAAAAAAGTTAAACATCATAATTTTTGTTTATAGTTACAATTATATTAAAAAAATTTAAAAAATAGTATATATATATAAATGAAAATTTGATTTGATTTAAAAATTTATTGAAGAAAATAAATTTTCAATTTTTCAATGTCATTCAAAAGTTTTATCATATTTTAAATCAAGTGTATTTATATAATTTTATAATATAATAATTCAACTGAATTTTATTATGTGTATAAAAAAATCATGTTACAAAAGCAAAAGACAATGTGCAAATTATTTAATGATTATATATTACACATAAAAAATATGATTTAGAATATTCATTTATATTTAATGAGATTTAAAATTCAAGCATAAAATTTGCTTTATTTGAAAAGTAAAGAGATTTTGTAACTTAGTGAAGGAAATAAAATATTAATTTACACATTCTTTTATTGACCTGAAATTGTTTCATTACATGATTGCTACAAGAATAGCCTTGAGTTTGAATAAAAAAATAGAGTTGGGATCGTGCTGATTAAAAATGGAGGAAAAAATGATAAACAAAATGTGTAAAAGCAGTTTTATCTTGAACATTAAGTCTTATCACAAATTACTTTTCCAACTATATTTGAACTTTGTGATGAATTTAATGCACAAATTCTTTTATATTAACTTTTGAACATTAAGTCTACTCGCAAATTATTTTTCCAACTATATTTGAACTTTGTGATGAATTCAATGCACAAAATCTTTTATATTAACTTGTGATATGATGACTATTTGGAAAATGAATTCAACAATCATTTTGATTACAATTTTTTTGGGTTCATTTTGTTGAAGGTTCATGAAGAATGAGATGAAATTTTTTATTGTTTTTGTAAAAGAGGTAATGATATTATGATTGAAAATTTCAATAATCTCAAATTTTTTTTTAGACTTCACAAAAAGTCTAATCAATTGCAATATTTTTTTATGATATAATAAAAACACAAGTTCACACAAATTTCCTTGAGAGTATTTACATGATTCAATCACGTATGATTGTTGAGAATAAATTTATACCATTATTGAAATATCCTATATTTTGGAATGTTGAAATGCACCATGTACATAAAAACACTCGATTTGAAGTTTAAGTAATGAAAAGAAAGTGTAACAAGGTGATACATAATTAAGCATCAAGAACTTTATGGGAGGTAGATGACTGAGTAGTATGATGAGGTAGAAATGACACTGTCACAAATTGGCAAAGGTTGAAAATATTTGCATGAAGATGAGTGATTAGGTTTTGGATAAAATGTTACTACATTCAAAGATTAGAGTAACAAATGATCTACACGTTCACCCTTAGGCTCGTACACATTGGTTGATGAAGATCCATTTATTGTTCAACATCATAGTTAAAAGTCAAGAAAGTCACTTATGAGGAATAAAGTCATGAGTGTACTATCATTCTTAAAGATTTACAACTCTAATTTTAACTCATAATGTAGATAATCATGCAAACATATGAAAAATATGGGTTTATATAATTGGCTTCCTCAAAGACTATGGAGTATAATATCATACAATATCAAATGTATTATATAACACTCTTAGGTTCACATTGGATCTCTGCGGACCGTCCACCTCAATTGTAGATGTTATACACGTCCAACATATACTTGTCATGCATGTTGTTGACGCACTTAGATATGTCAACTCAATCAAATGCATGAATGATATCATCATCATCTTTGTAAACAAGATTACTTTCAAATTCAGCTTCATATTTGCTATTAGGACAAAAATGTTACATCTATTTGCAAAACTTTCTATACCTTGTAGCAATTTGACAATCAAGCTGTGTCAAATTTAATAGAATGGCTGTATCAATTTTTTTCTTTTGCTTGCCTAACCGAGCTAATGAATGATTAAAAACACATTTAACCGTCTTGTGATTGCGTTCATCATGGATTTTTCATGTTGGAATCTAAAGCAATCTAAATATGCAACTTTTGATGACGACGTAGCAATGATTGTTAGATAAGATCCATAATTCAGATGACTTGAATGTGATATCACTTAAATCATCATCTTTGACTTTGAATGCACAAATAATCATCGAATAGAGTCCATAATTCAGACAACTGAAAGGTTATATTGTTGAAATCATCATTTTTGTTGTTTGGGCACACAATCAACGTGACAAACTTCCTAAAGAGTTTTATTTGAAGATCGTTGTTTCCATTGATTCAATGCAACTTTTGACTATTGATTGATCAAAGATGTTCTCAATTGTAAAAATTCTTGACTAAACTGTACAATTCTAGCACCCAAGGGTGCGAATAATGGATTTGAAGCAAATGTCTCAGCATGTGATTGTGTATTTATCTCATGTATTCTACATAAATTGTAGAAAAAGCGATGGTAAATCATTATCACAATTCTTTTCAATATCATTTTAATTCACATATAATGCGTACTTGACAAAGAAATTGAGCATTTAAATGTGAAACTTAATTTCCAAAAAGCAATTATACACAATAGAAAATGTTGTTTTATCTCTCTCTAAATATGTTAAACATGAGGAGATCGTCTTAAAAAATAACTCTATCACACATACACATTTTTGATAAGATTGATATGTAATCAAATCTTTCAATTTGTTCCATATATTAATGTCATAATCGGCATAAAAAACTTTGTCTGGCAACGATTACATGCCAATTTGAACGTGCTCGCACGTTGAACAGAGCATTTGATAAAATCTCATTGGATCTTCATAAATAGTATGATCACTTACGTTTTTTAATAATTTTCAATGCATAGATTGTCAAACAATTTTAACATAAGATGAAACAATTCTTGTAAAAAGTATGAACACGCAAGTTTTTTACATTTTTCAATGTACATTTTGTTCATTAACTTCAACAGAATATAAAACAATTTTAATGTCTTAATCTTAAACATTATGTGTTTTAAAACACAATTCACTTATGACCATATTTAATTAGTTAGAACTATAGTTAAAGTTACTCAAGATTGAGTAAAGTAGATAATAATGGAAGATTTGCAATGTCATATCAGCAATCTGTATGTTAGTTAGTGAGTTCGTTAGAAACAACACAATTACAATCAGTGCGTTTGTTAGATAAGAATTGAGTGCTCTAGTTGATGTGTTAGTTGGAAGCCACACGTCAACAATCAGTGTGTTCATTAAGTATATCCGTCATATCACCAATTCACTATGAGTAGATTGGACGGTGAGAAAAGATATTATCTTTGTTTATGTGTTTGAAGTATCTATACAAGGGAGAGGAGAACCATTCAAGATATCTCAATCTAAGAGTTTACGTTTCATCTCCGAGTGAACTTTTGTCTAAATCTAAATGTTACATAAGTACTAAAAACAATTTGCACAAATTTATGCAAAGTTTGTAAATCGCATGAGTTTTAGAGTTTCATAAACATGAACTTGTATTATTTAGACAACTTGTATTCATTGCGCAACTTAACTATGACACTTGGTGAATGGTTGCAAAAGCAGATCATAAACATGAACTTATTTGATTTAGACATTCCTTGCGCAACTTAATCAAAACCCTTGATGAATGGTTGCAAAAGCACATCATGTGTGAATTAACAAAGTGTTCATTCTTGGTGCAAGTTGGTTTTTCTTCATACTACTATTCTACAACTTTAAAATAATTGTCTAATTTTGCAATACTTTTGGTATTTGTTTATAATACAAGATTAGTAGCAAACTTACTAATTTTTTTTAAAAGTGCAACTTGCAGTTAAAAACCTTCTCTAATAGATTTATTGCACTTTTTTTTACGTAAGACTATTGTAAAATGTTCCAAGAATATTGCAATTGATGAACAAGCCATCAAGTTGATCACCAACTTATCTTGAAAATTCATGATGGTGTCCAATATAACGTAAATTAGCAACATCTTGCTCAGTGTGAAAAGAACATCCTTCATCACATATAAGTATTCATCCTTGATCAAATAATTATCAATAGCTTTTGTTGAAGGAAGTCGACTATAGCCACAAAGGTGATAAAGAAGAGCTTTCATGACCAATGCTCAAAGACCACAAATGTCTAGACTTTGGTAAATTGTAGGGTTTTATTGCTTGGATGATACACTATGTTGTGCATATAGTGTATCGAGCTTTTGCTATTTTTTCTTCTTTAAGTTATCAAAATGCTTACGATTGCCAAAGAAAAGAAATCCTACTCAAAATCATTAAGTAACACAAACTTGCTAAGGTTGCTGCTGATAGGGATCGAGGAATTGACTGTTAATCGTAATTATTTTTTTGAGATGGCTAGAACCCCACATCCAACAGACCTTTTGACTTTGCCCGTTTCTCGGAGCCAGCACGATGATAACGCATGTGATTCACAACCACAAGCGTGCAAGGGTAAGACTTGCAGTACATTAACTTGAAATCAAACGGTTGGTAACAAGCTCCAAACTTCTACCAAAGAATATCTTTTGGCTTCCCCATTTAGGGTAGACAATATTACAAATCTGAAATCTAACATTTGTAGAAATCCAACCACACTTGTGGAGTATACACTTTTTATTATACAAGGTATGGTTTAGGTGTGATGATATAATACCTCAATTATACATACACATCTATAATTTAGAATCACGAGTATAAAGTTATGTCACATGGAAAGTACATAGTGTTGGTTACTATTAGACTACAGTTAACTGTAAGGTTAGTAAATAAATACTAGACTCTGGAGGCCAGTACTTAAACCACGAGCTAAAAGATGCCTTTAAGCGATCTAGGTTAAGGATCGGTCTCCAAAGCAATCCCGTCCTAGGGTGCTCCCATCCACCTCAGGGATCAAACGGCGAAAGGAATACCAGCGCATGTTGGTCGATGCCCGATTCCCAATATCCGGGAGAATGCAATGTTGACGGGAGCGGGTTAGCGGAGCATTAGCAGCTAAACCGAAGCGCGAGTCCTAAACCTTTCCGGTGAATGTGAATTAGGCCGAAGCAAGGCCAGGCCAGGTGAGGTGGGGTGCGCGCGCAGGTCGCCCGGGCCCGGATGTTGGTCCGTCATCCTGTCTGTATCTGCGTCCCAGGAGGGAAGGAAGAACGGAAGGAAGAGGAGGAAGGAAGGGGAGGGTTCATGAGGAAAAAGATGAGAGCAGCGGGCTGTCAAATGTTGGTTTGATGAGAGCAGCAGAAATGCGGATCGCGACATTGAACCGGGTAGTGGTAGTAAATTAAGTAGGGACACGATATCGGAGCACTGACAGCAGCAGCCGAAGGCAACCGAGCGACGGGACGAGGCGTGACGACGGTCAGTGGTAGGCAGGCAGCGTTGCTCTGCTGAGGGAGCGAGCGATAGAGCACAAGAGGAGGGGGGCTATGGGGCGTCGTCGAGCATCACGATAGGATTGGATTATCGTTCCCAGACATGAGCAGCAACTATGAACGTCGAATTGCGTTCGTGTCGGTGGTGTATCGTCGCTGAGGATTCGCGCAGAGTTTGTTGTCGATTGATCTGCTCGTCCTCGCAGATTGACCCTGCTTCCAATTTAGGGTTTTCTGCTTCTGCTGCCCTTGTTTCTGCCCGTGCAATCGTTGCAGCGGGCGAAAAGCGACTCGACGCCTCTTCCTACGAGGGTGTCAGATCCGGAGCTGCAAAAGTCTGGAGTAGATTGAAGTCCAGTTCATGGTTTTGGACCACCTCCGACGATTTTTGCCGCGTTCTACGGAGGCAGAGAGATTTTGGTGATCACAATAGGAGGAGGAACGGGGTTTGAGGAGTTTAGGTGAAATTAAATACAACCTGAGACCATTTCTTCCTGGGCAGCCTAAACTCCGCGATAAAAAATTATCTATGTTTGTTTGGACGATATAAATCTGAGAACGGTACTACCGGAGTGGGTGCGAATTTTCTCTGCATGATTCTAGACACAGTGGAGCAGATGTTAACACCCATTGTTTTTTTGTCAAAACCCTAATTCGAGGAAACTTATTTCAGGTTTGAGACCTGGAAAATCTCGAGAATTAAGTTCTTGGAAACTGTAACAGGACCTTTATGTCTGGGGGTGCTGATTGCAGCAATTAATGTGACTGAAAGACTTTTGACTCTGCTTTTAGCCCGCGGCAACTCCCAATGCAAAAGGGAGGTGTAGGAATGGGGACTGACTACGAAAAGAAGCGTACCTCTTTTCCCAACTTAGCTGCGGAGAATACGTACTCGTCTGAGTCCGGCTCTACTTGGCCTCCCTCACAGTATGAAGGTTGGAATTACAGTAATCGTTCAGAATTTGGCCAGTTTCCCCCTTCATCAGCAGCAGCCCCTTCCACATCTGACAGTGACCCGAATCCTCAAAGTGAAACAACGGCCGCGGCAGCTCCGCAGGTGTCACAGCCGTGGTTTGGGTACTATTCTTCCCAACACTTACATCATCAGCCTCAGCAGGTGAGTCTCATGTTCCTCACCCTTTTCCCTATGTCTGCGATTTTGAATTAAAACGGATGTCATGTCCCTATCTAAAGGTTTCCTGGACTAGCTCTCCGGCAGCACACATCACTCTTGTCATTATTGGCCCCTTTCTTCCTGGCTTATAAATTGTGAAATTGATCCTCCGGGCGAGTTCTTTGTCGTCAAACAGCACTGTCAGTGCAGTTTTTTTACATCACTAGTTGATAGTTTCAAGTGGAAATGCGAACAGACCTTTCCATTTCCGGATGGCGAGCAATCTCGTCATGTAAAATGATGAGCAATGCAAATTCTCCCTGTATTGCAAAATCCGATATCGTCGGATACGTCCAGTTTATTGGTCTTCCATCCTTTTGGGCACCGAGTTTAACGAGGTTATAACGAACGTTGAGTTAAAGAAATTATACTTCGGGAGAGAAGTTGAGGTCTGTGTACCTCAACTTAATTGAACACCGAGATAATAGTACAGCTTTGTCTCAGATTGCCCAGGGCTTACTGCAGTCCTTTTACTTCTTTTCCTCCCACGTGTCCATGAAGTGGGAAGCAGTGACCTCATACACATGGAGAAACGAAACTCCAGCGTAACTCGAAACGTAACTCAACCCTTGTAGACTTTTTTCTAAACAAGGAAAATCGTATTTCTCTTATTGTCTTTCTTTAAAGCAGTCCTGGCAGGCTCCAATGCCTTTCCAGTATTTGACTCAGCACCTGGAGGTGGTTAAAAATGATTGACTCCTCCCGCATGAGTCTTCGTCTTTGATTTCCGAACTAGGATTTTTATCTGTTCAATCGACGGAATTTCAGCATATATCTCTTCAATTCTGGAGGTTCCACGTCTCTGCGACGAGGCAAGTAGTAGGCATGGCGTCGCCATTGCCCGTGTCGGTCATAATGCACTCTGGTTATCCTGGAGTTGCCATTCCAACATTTGATCTGTCAATTTCTGTACTTGCCACCTCTTTTTGGACTAGTTACGAGTTCATGTCAAGTCGGTCACGCTCATTTTAATTCCGTAGATGAGTCCTGCCCTTCAAGCTGATAACACAAACCTGCAATGCGAGGTAGATCACGATCTATAGATATTTTATAAATTTCATGGTGATAATGTAGTCACGGTTCTCATTGTACATCAACATGCGGTCAGTAAGTATTGTCCAAATTACATCTCTGTGGTTCGCACCGTTTGAAAATTGCGAGTCATTATTTGCTATCTATCTTGTTGCGCATGATTGTAAAATTTTGCATCTGGGATTGCCTTGGATGAGTAGCAAGGAGGACAAGCTCAATCCAACCAAGGACTGCCGCCTTTACCTTCAGTACCTCCCCCACAACCACCGCCACCGCCAGAACCATCCACCTCCTTACCTTCATGGAGTGCCGTTGTTGCTGGGACAACAGAAACAAGAGCTACCGAGGGCAGTGGGTTTCCATATTCAACTTACTACAATCAGCAACATCAGCATGGACAGGAAAGCAATTTTGGAGGACAGGATGGGCAAATGAATAGTACTTCAAGCTCTAGTGCTTCGGCCCCTGGGTCAAATGCAAACTCAAATGGGTCGCACAACTATGGACAGGTGTACGCTGGTTATACTTCATCCACCCCTGGGGACCAGTATTCGTATGGAGGCGGAAACTATTCCAATTATAATTATGGCTATCCTCAGCAACAAGGTAACGATTCTTACTCTCAGAACATGGGGACTCCATATCAAAGTTCAGGTGCTGCTCCTTATCCGCCTGTTAACTCCTTTTCGAGCACAAGCTCGTATACAGACAGCACCTCCTATCAGAGCACAGGCACTTATTACAATGCTGGTGTCTATCAGAACACGGGAGGTTACCCAACTTCGAACTATTCTAGTCATCCCAGCTCTTGGAGTGATAACAGCTATGGGAGCTATGGTGGCTATCCTGGTTATTCGGGCTACTCTGCTACGGATCAAAGTAACGCAGCTGGTTCTGGGGCTGTATCGAATGCGGGTCAATATCAGCATGATTACCAACCTCAGTGGGCTGAATATTATGCCAATATGCAAAATAACCCCAACTCCAGTACGGATACCAACAGTGCTCCTGGAACTGCCCCAACGAGTACCCCACCACCGTCATATGCAAGTGTAGTTGCTCAGGGAACAGGCACCCAGCCTGTATCTGCAAATTCTAGTCAGCCTCCACCACCTGGGACCCAGCCTGCTTGGCAGCCGAACAATCAACCTTCTAGCGCAGCTTCACAGGTGCAATTTCTACTTTCCGAGTTCTATTTGTGACTTGCCTCGCATGTTATCGATTATGACGGAGTTAAGAATTAGATAATTCAAACGAGAGGTGCTTGGAAAAAATTGCCATTTGTTCTAGATAGTTGTTCTTGTTCTGATTTTTGAGAAAAAAAGGATTGCGCGTATATCTTATACATTGGCTCTTGGACTGTTTTTGGTATCGGTCAGTGATTCCGTATATGTGTAATGTAAATGCAGGCAAATACAACATCAACCAAAGTTGGAAGTAACTGGGATCCTATGTCTTTGCATGCTTCGCAAGCGGATTCTTATAATCACAATATGCAAAGTCATTTTCAAGGCGGCCCCCCCACACAAAATAGCATGAGCAAAGTACAGTCTCAGCTATCAGCTCCTCCTGGTTTCCAACAAGTGCAAATATCGCAATCGTCGCAAGTACAACAGCCTCTAAAGCAGCAGACTCAGCTGGATGTTCCTACATCTCACGGATTTCAATCTCAAGGTCACCAGCAAATGAATTCAGGCATATCGCACTGGAGGACGTCTAAGATGCAGATCCCCAATAATCCGAGGATTGCCTCCAACCTGGGCATGGCTGGAAAAGGAAGTTTTGGGATGGAAGGAGGCCCCAAGCCTGCCTACATTAGTGTCGGATCTAAAGCTGGAAAGCTGACTTCGGATGACGTCACGGACGCTACACTTCAGGTGAACATTTAAAGCGCTTTACTCCTTGAATTAAATTCTCAACTGCCGAGATCCAGGATTGCCTCTTTGGGGGCATCAGGTGATAACTTGGCGTTTGTCCGTTGTGACTTGCTGGTCACGTAAAGTGTAGTCCGAAGCTCCCCTTCCCTCATATGTTTATACTGTCTAGTTCCTTTCCTTGAGATAGGCCCAACATTTGGTCATCTGCCCCAATTTGGGTTGATGCCATGAAGTGTGAGAGGGTATTGTCTCATTTGATATCGTCTTATATCCTGTTCTGAAATACACAAATAGTCTCCAGGCCCTTCATCTAAACAACCTCTGAATCTCGGCACAATTTAGCTGGACACGAGTATATTTCGCTGCTCATTTCACGCGTTATCCACCTAAAGTTGGATGGAATATCCTTTCCTAAACAACGAGAATGTGGTATGCAGCCTGGAATGTTTCCACCCGCCCTCAGAGCTTATGTGGAGAGGGCTCTATCAAGGTGCAAGGATGAAGCTCAAAAGTCAGCGTGCCAAGACATCATGAAGGAGGTGGGGTTTCTACGCTATCTTTCTTGTTAGTGAGATCAAGAGCTGCCTATTTTCATATGGTTGGGAACCTTATCATCTAGCATTTGCTCAATGTTCGTCTTACTCTTCGTAGTGACTTCCAGTCTATGTCAAGAAAATACTAATCCGTACAGTTCACGTTACTTTTGTGCAGATGATTACAACAGCATCACGAGATGGATCTCTATTTACTAAAGACTGGGATACTGAGCCCCTTTTCCCGTTACCAAATCTTCCATCAGCATCTACAGGAAAAGAGTAAGATCTCAGTGCAAACTTGTGATTCTTAGGTCCTCCGTTATCCATTTTTTTAGGTGTTACAATAGAAGTAGGAGTCAGTGTCTTCCATTGGGTGTTTCAAAGGTAAATATTTAGTAACAAAATAGACTGTTATCATTTAAACTTTCAGAGTCAGTTTATCAATCATTTTCTTGTTTTCTTTGTATACAACTCTCGTGTGATAAATTGTCCTAGCTAACTCTTATCTTTTGATTTCGTGTAGTGCTACGCACCGGGGAATGGCCCCTAGTGGTGGGATGAAGATGCAGAGTAGCCCAAATAAACGAATGAAAAGTAGGTGGGAACCAGTCGGCGATGATGAGATGGATGATAAGCATACCTTGGGTAACCGGGACTCGATTAAGGACAGTCTGCGAGATAGGCACAAGGAAAGAGATGGATCGGTAAGCTCAAAAGAATCGATTGGCTGTTGATACACCTCTCGGTTGCAATTCGAGAGAATGTCGTTGCATTTGTCTTTTATTACTTGGAGCATCAAACCATGTTGACTGCGAAAATGTCTTCTCACGGGAGCTTATCGAGGTCGTTAGTGTGGAGTTTGATCTGCTCAGGTGTCTTTGGTTTCCCTTTGTCTTCTTGTTTAAATGTGTTGGACATCATCATGACCTGGTTTTCGCAAACGTTTTGGGAGTTGACAGAAACATAGGAGGAAAAGTACCCGAGAGTTTTCAGAGATTCTACTTACGGCTATTCTCATCTGCTAGGCTGTAGATGTGGAAAGTTCCTGTTCAGGCTTTACCTGTCCGTTGTGTGTACTACTTATGTCAGTTGGCTTTTTAAGGTTAAATTTTCATGTTAGCGTCAAATCAAAGCAACTGTCGTTAAATATGTGTAAAGTTCACCGCTACTTCAGACTTGTTCAGCTCTTACATGTGCAGATAATTTGTGAAAGAACTCACCGGGCATCATGAAGTGGCTTCATGATGTAATGTTCTAAGGAAAGTACATTTTTGTGTTTGTGTGTAGGCCTCGCCTCCGAAGTGGGAAAAGCGAGAAGGGCTTTGGAATAAATCTAAACTTGTACAGCAACAACATTCAGCGCAGTCGAATTTAGGGAAGCGGACACGAAAGGTTCCTAAAAGAGGCCGAAGACTTGGTAGCTTCAATGGCTACCAAGCTGTCAGCTCCAGTGAAAGTGACGAAGAGGTGGAACAAATCGGAGGGGTTACATTGGGAGCACTGACAACTGCCGAGACTCCAGAGGAGAAGAAGAGAAGGCAGAGTAGAACAAAACGTTTTGACCGAGGCAAGGAAACAACGGGAGGTGCTAAGGGTGTAGGAAAAGGTAAGGCAGGGGTTGGTGGGAGCGCTACTGCTAGACGAGCTACAGCTCTGCAGTTAGCCATGACCTATGGAGATGGTAATGGGCGAGCTGTAGAGGACATTGACTGGGATTCTTTGACAGTAAGAGGCACCTGTCAAGAGATAGAGAAGCGATATTTAAGGCTGACTTCGGCACCTGATCCAAGCACGGTAAGAACTGCCCCTTCAGAGTTCCTGCCTTTTCAGCTTTGTAAACTTAATTTAGCCTGTGGGCAAATATCTATGGAAGTTGCAAGTCATTGCATGAGGAGTAGTTGATATATTGTCAGTTATCGAGTTGATGATCGAAGTTTATTCTGGTCTCATAAAATTCGAATGACAATCTGCGGATTGTAGCGATTTCTCCAAGCCTTTTCTCTAGCACAAATGTATTTATCATGTTTTGCCTGTGATTCTATCGATTCTAACCAGTGTTTTTGGGAGCAGGTGAGGCCCGAGGATATTTTGAGAAAGGCACTGGCGATGGTGCAGAGTACTTCCAAGAGTTATTTGTACAGATGTGAGCAGTTAAAATCCATTCGACAAGATCTCACCGTTCAAAGAATACGAGATGAACTCACAGTTCAGGTTTGATAATCTTCGGTTTTGTGATTTTATAGTGCTGCTTTAAGGATGTTCAGTTCGAATGAAGGAATTCAAAATCTACCAAGACATCGATTTATCCTTGAGCTTGTTTAAAATGGCTTGAAGGTTGAGAAGTTTTCTGAAAGTGTTGTCGTTTGCATCCTGGCCACTATCAGGAGAGAAAAGTAAGATGCTTTGGTAATTGAGTTGGCTTTTGTCCACATTCATTCATGATTGTGATGAGACCTAATTTTTGATAATTTTTTCTCAGGTGTATGAAACTCATGCTCGAATGGCATTAGAGGCTGGAGACTTACCTGAATACAACCAGGTGTAGGTCTAACTTGAAGCTAATCATTACATTCACGTCAATTATTACTTATTATATTGTGCAGTGTATCTTCAGAACCTCTTGTGACGTTGTTTTCACATCTACATCCATCTTCGTAGATATTATGTGGAGTTTCTTCTTCTGCTAATTATTTGGTGTATGTTTCAAAATGCAGTGTCAGACACAGTTGAAAGGGTTATATGCAGAAGGTATTAAAGGTTGCATCAATGAGTTCGCAGCATACAGCTTGTTATACATCATATTTAACCATGGGAATAGTCGTGACCTCCTGTCGTCGATGGCAAGGTACTGACCAGAGCTAGTCTCACCCAAACGCTCTCTCAATACATGTAAATTTCTGTGTTGGGTGCATTTGGATAGTTGACATCCCTCTTGTATTTCAAAGAAGCAGTTACTGTCATACCTCAGTTACTCAATTTCTCTTATATTGAGGGCTATATTCGTCTCTCTATGACAGTTTTATTTTTTTCTTCCCTCTTGCCTGCGCAATTCGAGAGCTTTTCTGCTTCTACATCGCCATCTCATTTTTGTTATTTTAATTTCCAGGTTTTCTTTTTCAGCGCTTTACTTCTTGATATATGGACTCTTGTCCGGGTTGTCTGTGCTCTAAATTTTAGCACATTGTTCGCAGTCTCTTCAACAGTTAGGTGTAGGTTTTCCTAACAACTCTTTAAATGTGGGAATGGATTAGATTAGCGGGTGACCTGATATTATGGATATTGTAAATTGTGAGATGTCACTCTCGTGTCTTACCTGTGGTCTCAATGTTAACCTACTATCGTTGAGATTACAGGCTTTCGAGAGACGCACGAAAAGATGAGGCTGTGAAACACGCACTTGCCGTTCGAGCAGCTTTGGCATCCGGAAACTATACTTCCTTTTTCAAGTTGTACAGAACAGCTCCAAATTTGAGTCCCTTTTTGATGGGTAGGAATTGAATTGACCACTCAGAGTTCATCTCAATGATGCGAAAGCAGGAATTGTACATTCTGGTATATATCTGTTCGATGCATGATGCTGGGCGTAGGTAGCCTGACAAAGTTTCCATCTAAATTGAGTTGAACATGTTATCGTCTGCAGAGATCCATGCGGAGAAGATGCGATTCGAAGCAGTGAAGTGCATGGCCCGTTCATATCGCCCATCATTACCCATAACATTCATTGCCCGCAGTCTGGGATTTATGGCAATTGAAGGAGGGGAGGATAAGGAGGCCGATGGGATAGAAGAGTGTGAAGAATGGTTGAAATTACACGGGGCTCATCTAATTTTTGACAGCGTTTCAAATGAGTCAGTTTTAGATACGAAGGTGAGACGCCACTTTGGCTGTTTTTGTCGGTGATGCACTTTGTTAGTATCTACAATTGTACGAATAATTATCTGGAGAACAACATGAGAAATTGAAAAGTTTTTTTTCAAGGTCAAACGTAATGGGATTAAGGACCAATGGACTGAACTTGTTATTTGTTGTGTTTCTTCTTGTTCTTTACTTATGTGCTGGTTGACTATATTTGTTGGGTGCAGACGAGTGCGACAACTCTATTCATGCCAGAACCAGAAGACGCTGTACCACATGGAGACGCGAATCTGGCTCTCAATGATTTCTTTGCCCGATCGTAGTATCTATTTATAAGTTTCAATATTTCTCCCATCATTTTTCAATGAATGCTGTCCAATGATTCAGCGTGAGAGAGAAGAGAGCGGCAAAGGAAGAGAATGCTTGGTGGTTCTGTATGTCGGTTTGTTTCTCCACAAATCTACGTTGGTTCATATTGAGATGGTTGTAATTGAAAGTTTTTGTGTAGCTCTTGAGATGAGATGATTGCATTTACCTTACAATTGTTAACTCCCCACATCTTCCCCTTTTTTTACATTTTGAGGAGTTCATGAAATGATTAAACTGGATTCTCTTAGAGAATCTCTAGAAGGCAGAGGAGATAATTCACCAAAAGGCTCAGTAAACGAAGTGTATTTCTAATTGGTCATATGTTGGGTCGGGTGGGTCTTTATCGATTTAGTTCGCTCCGCTAGAGCTGGGAAACAATATCACGGTGTGCCCTTCCTTTCACACTCCGATTTTATTCACCCGTAGGGAATGATTCTGAATGCCCGTATGATTTGAGGGGGTCAGAGAATCAATGGGAGTTCTGTCAGAAGAGCCATTCTACTGTAGGGTTTGCAATCAGCAGATTTATTGTCTGCATTCTGAAGGCTAAGTATGTTGTCTTACATCCCAAAATCTCTCCAAAAGTAGATTTTGGGATGTTGCTTTCGCTGATTGACACCAACCTTTCAGATGAAAGGTTTCGCCAGATTAACTCACGACACTACATTTGTGTATCACATTATCAATATCGACAAGACAGCTCATCTTTAGCTCGGATTTATGTACTTTGTTATAAGTCTTTTGTAGAGATAAGAAAGCATCTACTTTTTCCCGAAATAACACTAGGTCAATATGGCCAGTCTCATTGGATTTGTGGATGGATTTCGTCAGTACAAAGAGAAGACAAGTCCATTCACTTTGTCTTTAAAGAACACTGTTGTTCGAAGTTCTTTCTAAAAGCATCATCATGTTGATCTGCTTGACCATCCCGTTTTGTCCCCCTTTTCTGCCTTCTGGAGAATGTTCATAATCTTCAACATGGTATTTGGAGTATAGATGCTGCTGGAAGTCAGGACGAGACTAGTGGGTATTGCCCATCATGAGAGACTTACTAGCACACAAACGCATCAAGCTCGGGCCAGAACGTTGTAATAACCTACTATTTGGTTCCAAACGACTCCGTGCGGGATTATGAGATCAATGGAATAGAGTTTGCCGTTACTCTATCGGTGTTTTAATTTTTTTATTTTCTTCGTTGTCGAATTGTCTTCCCGCATTCTGCCCTCTCGTAGTAGTTTTGTAACACCAGTGGTATTTTGTTACGAAGAAACTGGTTGATCACACCCAGTATACATCAAAAGTGATTGGTAATGTACACCGTTCCATTCTTATAACTATATAACTCGGGAAAACAAATTTCCGTTGCTATCTATGATCACATGTTGATGGGGGGTTTGATATAACTTGGCGAGCTCAAGGTCTTAGGTTGTAGTTTAAAAAGCTACAGGTGTTTGTGGAGTACGCATATGAAGTGATGTAGTATCTATTCATCTCAGCTGCAAGTTATGTTAAAGTTGTACTTCGTTACATCAATCTCATGTAATTCTGTTTTATTTCAATCACAACTGACCAGATTGAGCTGTGCGATTGGGCAGCTAATCAAAACATAAACTTTGATCTAAGCAATCAGTTTGCAATCGACCAACAATGGGCGAGTTAGGAATCATTACATGTCAACATATCTGTCAACCGGAGGACTCCAAAGAATGCACTGACTAAATGACATGTGTGCAATGTGTGGACAAGCTTAAGAGCTACGAAATAACTGTAGTAAGCAATAATTTGGAAACTATTTCAACAACTATGTAAAAAGTATCACAACATATATTTTAGAAAGAAAATAAATAGCTTTAAAAAAAATGTTTGAATAATTTTCAGCAAACCTTACTCAATGATATACTTACTGTGAGTATTCAAACTGTCAACTATAATATATACTTCCATTCACTCAGTCACTTCTCAATGAATTCTAGACGTTAACGTACTTATCAAATCTTGTCATCTCATATTCTGAAACTTCAAATAATGAAATCTTATTTAGTTCTTGCAAGCGAACTAGTTGTATTACATCCGATTTTAATTCTATTATTTAAATGATCGAACATAGAGTTGTGTTGTTAAATTAAACGATACTTGTTGTATTCAAAAAACCTAGGAGTCAACTAATTGTGCAAGAAGAATTCTGTTATTCAAAATAGTTATGAGGTACAGTGGCGTCGCGATTAATTAGCAATTAGAACCTGCGAAGTTTGTGACCAGTTATCTGGCACGTGTGTACTTATGATTAGCCACTTCGAAATAGCTTGAGTTTGGCTACAATGTCAAAAAACCAAACAGACGGTTCTCAATGAGTCTCAACGCTGCGCACTCAAAGCAAATCGATTGTTCCCAATAAGAGGGCCCTAATGCGGGAGTACGATGCTAGTAAAGGTCACATCTGCAAGATTTGAGTGAGAGAACAGACATGTGATTTTGGAACGATAAGACAAACGAATAATACGCAGCTGCGGTGTTGGAAGATGAAGATTGTTGAAAGGAAGAAGGATAATGACGACGGTAATACTCAAGAGCTGAATGTGGGTTTACAAAATGGAGTTGGTTTCGAGGTTTCGAATCCCTTTAGATGCAGTTTTTCAAGATCGTGTATCAGCTGCGGTGCTCTGAAGTTCAAATTGAAGCAGATGATACATTCCATGATCTTAAAAAATCATTTGAATCATCTCAAAGCAAGATTGGCTGAGAATCTTCAAAGCCAAACTCAAGAAAATTCAAAGCTTGCGCCATATGAAACTTTATGTTATGTTCAACTAATAAAATTTGAACCCCAAAGGTTAGGGATAACTAAGCGTGCTTAAATGGGTCTGTACTTTAGCGGGAGGCTTCTGTATCATACTCTTTGATATGCTAAACTACAAAATTTCCTCATTTCTAATGGGAGAGGGTTTTATTGTATAGATTTTTTTTTTTAATTTTTTTTTTATAAAATTCCTCACACACGAAAGAACAACAATTCCAATTTTAATTTTTTTCATTTTTTCTATTGAGCGAGAGAAAACCTGCACGCGTATATTAATCATTATCTTATTCAGATGCAATCAAAACGACTAGTTTCTTTAAAAATTGTATTCACAAGATGAAAAAAAAGAAGATGAATACTATATTTGCATATTGAGAGCTAGAGTGATCATAACTTATACTAAAGTGCGTTCATTTATGAATAAAACTAAAGGAGAGTGACAACTCCTCCATAAATCCCGTTACTCTTTCAGAAGCATGTTTTATAAGTTAGAGAACTTTTCCATCCTGACACATCTTCATCATCAGACAAAATTTGATGCCGAAGCGCCAGTCCAAATGCACAATAATTTGGCAGATCAATTGGTAAGAACGTAGACACGTGGGTTCCTGGAGATTCACAAGTTGCAGCTAGAAGTCAGATGACAAAGAACGAAATGCCGAATACATGAGAACGAGAGGAACCCCAAAGGCATCCATCGATCTGAAATCATGCCATGGGGAAAGAAGACAAAAACCTCCGTAGAAAATATCTGCTTTCAATCTTCGCAGACTTCAAGGATAATCACAAGCGACCGGACGGCACCCAACTGAAAGAAGGAGCATTTTGTCGTCCGTTGCCCAGCATTAAAACTTGCTGCTCCTGCTGAAGCCAGGGTAGAGGAGAAACTCCTCTTCCTCCTTTTGGGGCAAACAAGACAAACTCCTGAGAAGAGGAGGTTTCCAGCAGCACGGGCACAATCAAAAGAGTCAAGCCCGACGAGATGGGAAAGCAGAGGACAGACAGTTCAGGTGGGCCACGGGGAGGGAGCGGAGGTAGAGAGGACTGTTGTGTGCACAGGGGGAGGAAGCGGCAGTAGAGACAACTGGCCAACTGCAAGGGAAGGGGGATGCGGAGGAGGGTGGCGGTGAATGGGTGGATGGAAGGTATTCCCTGGGACTGGGATCAGCAAGGTCGAGCCAGGAGAGTTGTGGCGGGGAATGTTCTGTGAAATATGTCAAATCTCTCTCAATCACTCGCTGTTGCTGGACGAGACAGACAGATTGGAAGGGGTCGTTTGTTGTTGCCTTGCAGTGTGCATAACTGACATGCATACATGAGGAGATGCGTCCAGGCCTAAAGTTAGAAGAATAGATTTCCTGTGGCTGGCAGTCAGTCTCTCAATTTTGTTACTCATTAAATTCCAGGTGGTGCTGCTGACTGTCTGCCCTTTTCCCCTTTCTCTGCTCTCGCCTTCGCCAGGGTCGAATGTGTGCCAGGTGGTGCTGCCCTCCCTTCTCTCCCCCGTCTCGTCTCGTCTCCCCTCCTCTTCTCGATCTCCTTATCGACGAAATTCCACTCCATCGCCTCTTCTATCTATCCATCTGTCCGCCCTCCGCACCTTGCTTGCTTTCCCCTTTCTCATTTGCTAAAGCAAACACGAAGGCGAGGCTGAATGGGACGAGGGACGAAGGACGGGCCAGCGTTGCCTTGTTGCCCTGCTGTCTTGCTCAGCTGTCTGTCTGTCTGTCTGTCTGTCTGTCTATCTTGGCTGGTGACACTTGACATTCTTATCATTAGTGGGGTCACAAGGTTGAGTTCGAGAAGCAAAGCTGTGGCACTTGCCCTGATTAGAAACGAGAACCGAGCAATAGAGCAGAGGGGATGGGAAGGCCCCATCAAGTCGTACAGGGTAGGAAGGGATGGGGCTAGGCCCCCAATGGCATCACCATGGGTCCTTCCTCACTAAACAGGGTCCTTGACCAATTGGACCCACAATTTGCCAAACCATCGTCTGAGACTTCACAGCACGATTATCATTTATCTTCATGGGAAGGGAGCCAATGGGTGGGGTCTGGAGTCCAGCTTTCATGGAACATTGATGCTTCACGTCTTGCCACATCGAGACATGTTTCGTACTGTACTGCCTGTTGCGCGTCCACCCTCCAAAGTAAGAAACGAAGACTCTCCATGCACAGAAACTTAGCAGGGGAGCCCCACTAGTAGCCTTTTGGCCTCCAGAAATTCAATCCCATCTGACCTTCCCTTGCCTTCTGTTCTGATGTCTTCTCTACATGGAACTAGCTATTGGTCCCCACCTCCATCGGCTCCATCTAGAGAAAATATCATGCCTATCTCAATCGTACTCCCCA